GTTCTTATTTATGGTTTTAGGTACCCCAAAAGGCCCCAAAGTCCATAAATAATGGGCACTTGGACCCTTAGGGTTAGTTTAAGTTACAGTAAGTTACCATGGCAAGGAAACCACATCATGAGCTATAGATCCCTATTATGGTGACTTAAAAAAATTCCTTAAACCCTACACCCTCACATCATGGACTAAAAATAGACCCCCTATGATGGTATTTTCAACTAAACTTCTTAACAAGAGCCCAGTCACAAGAGCTGATGGTCGAATTGTAGCTGATGAGATCTGCAGCAACTTTGGCCTTGGGCATGCTGTCCAACACGCTAAGTGCCAACTGCCACTGCTGACCTAAGTGCTTCGGTTTTAGGGTTTATGGGGTCGAGTGTTTGAGGGTTTAGATTTGGGGGTTGAGGTTTTAGGGTTAAGGGGTTGAGAGTTTAGGGTTTAGGGCCCAAGGGTTTGTGAAAATGGAGACTACAAGCTTGCTGTTTGTTGAGTTTCACACAGGGGCCCCAACAAACACAATAGGACAGAAGCTAGCACTGCGAGAGCTAGTGACCCTTCTCCAAAGCGCTGATCGTAACATTGTAGCTGATGACGTTGGGCTGAAGCCTGGCAGTGGCCATGCCAAGGAAAAGGCACAATGCGAGTCGCCACCTTACTTGCCCAAGAACCGCAAGACACAGGTGTCTAGTTCATACTATATAACCTCATAAGAAGCCAAAGAAACTTGAGGAGGGGTATTCCCCCTAAACCCTAGGCCCAAGAACCAAGACACTTCTTGGCCTTAGAGGACGTGCTGATTGCCGTGGTGTAGTCTGCCAAGCCCCAGCTCTCATGGCAGGTAGTCGGCGAAAGCTGAGGATACAAACTTCTTGGCGTCCGCCAGTCCTGGGCAGGGTTTAGGGTTTCGGGATTAGGGTTTAGGCTTTAGGATACAAACTTCTTCGCGTTCGCCAGTCCTGGGCAGGGACTGAACTCCGCCGTCTTTGAACGGCGTGGTGTCCAAAGAGCTCCAAAATCGCAGAGATCTCGTCACGTGTGCTGGTGCAGGCGCGCGCGGCTGCACGGAATGCCCGGGGTAGCATAGCATCAACCCCACCTATGGTCGTTCATGCAGTTCTTTTTTTGGTTGCCTGGTCCCTTTCTTAAAGTTTCCTGGCCAGAAAATGGCTAACGGAATGAAGCAGCCACACTAAAGATCATAGTCACAAAAATATCATAGGTAATTATTAAGGCTCCTAAACCCTAAACCCTACAATTCCTAAACCCTAAACCCCTCCCGTAGATACTCCAGGGCCAAAAAGGGGCACGTGGACCCTTGGGGCCCGCCGGGCCGAACTGCCTGGAAGGATCTGAGCTTCTCCAGATCTCTAGGGCTTGGGGCTTTTTGGGTTTAAGGTTTAGGGTTTAGAGGGTTTAGGGTTTAGGGTTTAGAGGGTTTAGGGTTTAGGGTTTAGGGTTTTCTACCTCGAGCTACCGAAACATCGCCTTCTTACAGCGTCTGAGGTAAGGAGTTTAAGGTAGACGGAGTGCGGCAAATCTGCATACAGGTGTACGTATGTATATGATGTATATAGATAAGTTAGATAAAGAACAGCGATTGAGCACGCGTGCACACATGTATGCTGGGTGCATTTTCACTATCATGTCAGCGTCGTGCTCACGACGTCTTATCTTCTTTGATGAGAACGATGATGCGAATGCTGCTAGTGCCGGTGATGACCATGATGATGGTGCAGATCACAATTATAAGCTCATCGCTTTACCTTCACCACAGCTGCTGACCATTCAAGTTTTCCCTTGCGAGGCGTCCCAAAGCCTAGAAGCCCTACACCAAAGGGTTTAGGGTTTAGCAAGACATCATAGATCTGCCTTCTTCGTGTAGTTCGAGCACATTACGAAGACGATCCACGAAGAACACCGTGTCCGGGTCTGCCTCTTCGTTCGGGTTTAGGGTTTAGGGTTTAGGGTTTAGGGTTTAGGGTTTAGGGTTTAGGGTTTAAGTGAGTATGGATATGGGTCGGTTTAAGTTTAAAATTAAGGTTTCGGGACACCTAAGTCTGCAGGTGCAGGGTTCGGGGCTTGCTAGCATTTGTGCCAATGTCCCACCTGGGCCCAAGCTACAATGGGGGTCGGAAAATAAGTAATTGCAGTTGTCGTTTGGCCCTTATTTATGTAGTTATGCGATAAATTACCCAAACCTCCCATTCTAATCATGAAGAACTTAAGACCGAATTAATGCTGTTGTGTTCTTGCTGTCCATGCGCACTTGCAGAGAAGCTAATCAGGGCCCAATATACTATAATCACGATAATGAACCCCTAAAATAGTATTGGAAATAATTGAGGCTTCTATACCTATCGATCTCCCCCCCAACCAAAGTCTCTAATACAAAACAAGCCTTGTTTTGTATGGCCTACCGATGCAACACTCTCCAACTTTGCCAAAGGACCNNAAAAAGCCCCCTTTATCCTTGTCCGACAAGGGTTTCCCCTCCCCTGAGTGCACGGTTTAGGGTTTAGGTTGCCTGGCCCCAGACGCAAACCCCAGAACGGAAGAACCCTGCACCCCAAACCGGAGAAGGGTATGGATTTTCGATTTATGACGTTCTTCCTGCCAAGTGTAATATAGCCTGAGGGAGTGGTACGAGTCCACTATTCAAGCACCTACAAGTTAAATCTCTTAGGGTCCATGTGCCCCAAATAATATATACTTCGGCCTCAAAGTAGTCCTTATATAGGTACTTGGGGGGCCAAAGTAGATGGGCAGTTCTCTAAATTAGGGGGACCCTAACTACCCTAAACCCTAAACCCTAAACCCTAAACCCTAAACCCTAAACCCTCTACTTGGGTACATGGGCCCTTAGGGAGGGCTTCCCCTTGACTGAGGCTTTCGGATTCGAGGTTGAGGGTTTATGGCTCCGGGCCTCGGCCTTCATGTGGGTGGTTGTCAAAATTAGGGTCCCTTTTTGGGGGGCCCTTCTTATAAGGGTGCCGTACTATATTGGGGATCTAAAGAGGGACCCTTATTTCGAGAACTACCCATGTATAAACCTGAAAACAAGAAGACCAGGTTCGCATTAGGTTTCTGCAGTTTCTCAATGCAGATCTAGGGTGTAAGTTTTTGGGGGGGAGTTATGTAGGTTTCAAGTTTCGGGGTCTAGGGGTTTATGCCGTTTCGCGTCCTGCAGTACGTATGCAAAGGCGAGTTCCACTGAGAAGAAGTCTATTCTTCCCGGAATCATATTTCGTCACTGACTGAGCTGGCATCCCTGGCCTGTCAACCTTCACAACCTTGCATAACGAATCTGACAGCAGTGACTCAAGTTCTCCCTGCTGGCTAGACTTGACACCAGCGTCCTTCAAGTCTGATTTCAGGTCGCCGATGATGTCCCCGGGCACAACCGCCGCAATGGACGTGCCAGCATCTCACTTTGAATACCTGCCTCTCCCACTCGTCATCAATGTTATTGATGACAGTTGTCGAACCGCTCCGATCGTGGTAATGCTTCGTAGTCACGCGGATTGGAGTTTGAGGTGCGTAGGAGTTTGGAAACGTAGCAAAGGTTTCTGAATCAAGCGCCTGCAGCAATCTGGGGGTTTGAGTGTAGGGTTTTCACACCACCCAACGTTTATGCTGAAGGATCCAAGGCTGGAGATACTGGAGCTGACTGTGTTTGTGCCGTCTACAAACACTGTGGCCTTCTAGTAAGGCAACCCCCTGCATGCATATCTCTACATGCACACACACACACATACTATGTGCATGCAACCAGGTAACCAGGAAACCCCAAACCCCTCCCTGGGCCTCCACCTCCGAAGAAGACAAACTAAACCCTGAACCGACGGTTTCGGATTTAGGGTTTAGGGTTGAGGTTTTAGGGTTTAGGGCCTTAAACTTTAAAAGAAAAAGCCAGGCCTTCACGATCCAGTTGTACAAGAGGTAGTGGCCATCGGAAATCACCTGCCTGGTCCAGGGTTTACCTAGAGGGTCATACCCTATCCCTTTTTTAAGGTACCTAGTCTTCTGGTTAGGATCTGCTATATAGAAAAGTAGGTAACCGAAAAAAGGGGTAGGGTATGACCCTATAGTTAGGGTTTAGGGCCCAAGCCTAAGCCCTCCAGGCTGGTGAAGAAACCCTCTACCCGAGACCCACAGTCCGAAACTTCCTCAGCCCCAAGCCCAATTGACCCTATAGAGCCCCTAAACCATAAACCCGACTGCCCAACCCCCCCCCACCAAAAAAAAAAAGCTATAAATATTAACCTAAGCACTCAACCATAAACTCTAAACACCAGTCTTGCTTCCAAGGATTTCCTACCTGACTGGTAACTCTCTTGTGTCTCAGTGTTATGTGGGTTTGGGGGAAAAGTTATTGAGTTGTAGAAGGGCGAAAAGGGCATACCGCCTGTTCATAGCCCCACCCCTGCATTACAGTACAGAGCTCCTACACTCTTAACACCAGGATCCTGAAACCTCACCCTAAGCCCTAACTTGATTGGCCCCTCAACGCCTTTGAAAACTATTCGTAGATAAGATCCTTTGAAGCCCAATAAGGGAAAATTTAAAATGCCACAAGGGCCTACCGAGCTAAACCCTAAACCCTAAATCATAAAATGGGCGCGTAGACGTCTTGGGTGATCTTAGAATATGCTTATGCAAGGACTATACGCGAACCAACAAATACCAGTTCTAAGCCGATATCTACAGTATCTTCAAGCACAAAATCCCCGGTATGAACGGAAACCCACAGTTGCTACTGCTTAAACCATACTACTCCTTCATCCCTCAGCCGTGAAAACAACATTCCCCTATGCCTAGTCCCCAAACCCCAAAAACCCTGCCTGAATTCCAAATAACTCTATGTTGTTCGGACTTGTGTAAGGAAATCAGAATGAGCAACCCCACCAAGGTAGTAGGGCGCGGGCAAACTCTATCCAGCACTCCCTCTACCCCTAAGGCCCTAAGGGTCTAAGTACAGAATCCTAAACTTCCTAAACCCCAATCCCCAGACCCTGAAGAACCACTCAACCAGAAACCCGGAAGCAAAAACCTATAAACCCTGTCCCCGGAACCCAAATTGCCGGGTGCTTCGGGCCCCGAGCCTTACAGTACCCTTAAAGGTAGCTTCAAAGGAACCCTGATAGGTACGCTTACAGGAAGCCTTAAAGGAACCCCTTAGATCCTAAACCCTAAACCACACACCTTCAACCTAAACCCTAAGCCCTTAAAGTAGCCTATCGGAACCCTTACAGGTACCCTCAAAGAAACCCTTAAAGGAACCCTGAAACCAAAACCCTACACCTTAAGGCCTAAACCCTACACCTTAAACCCTAAACCCTGAACCTTAAACCCTGAACCCTTAAAGGAACCCTGAAAGGAGTACTGCCTCCAGAAGGCAGCGAAGATCCGCAGATTCAATGCGCTCCTCAGATCAATCGGCTTCGAGGTGGTGAGAGCGGTTTTTCGGGCGGGGAGGGTCCTGTACAGGGTTGCGTTAAAGGGTTATATAGGGTTTGAGGTCTAAGGTGTAGGGCTCAGGGACCACCAAAGAGTCCAGGAGCTCCTTGATCTCCAATCCCACATGAGAACCATACCCCTTCTGCACACTTCTGGGTTTAGGGTTTAGGGTTTAGGGTTTAGGGTTTAGGGTTTAGGTTTTAGGATTTAGGGTTTAGGGTTTCTGTACCTGTGCGGCCTGTCTCTCGCAATGAGAGCCAGGTTCTTGAACAAAGGTTCCTCCCCATTTGGGAGTTTCCGAAAATAGGGGACCCTAATATAGTACCCTAAATAGTAGGATCCTTATTATAAGGACCCCAAAACAGGGTACCCCTAATTTTCGGAAACTCCCAATTGAAAGCCCGCCAGGTCGACCGGGCTCGTGTTGTAGAGGACCCTCTGCTCCGTTGGCCCGCCGTCAGCAACAGCGCTTGTCACCGACTGCAAGAACTTTCTATAAAGCTCCTGCTCATGACACTCCCCGGAAACTTAAAGAATGCGACCACAAGTAAGAAGGACAAGAAATACACCAATCAGTGACTGGGGCCAGAAGTCAAAGCAAGCCCACTGTTTATGAACTTAAGCGTCCTGGTCAAACTCGCCAGTCGCAGCTGAGGTACGCATCCGCTTAAGGGCAGCCTCTAGATATAGGGTTTATAGGGTGTAGGGTTATACAGGGCTTATAGGGTTTAAGGTGTGCGTCTTAGGGCTTATAGGGTTTGGGGTTTAAAGCGCGGGGTTGAGGGCTTACAGGTGCAAGGTTTATAGCGTTTGGGAGTTCCGAAAAGCCGAGCCAGGGATCCCAATAACCCTTAATTCAGGAACATACCCTTAAAATTATAGAGGACTAGAGTTTCGGGTTTAGGGTGTTTAGGGGTTTAGGGTTTAGGGTGTATGCATTACATTATAGGGGCCTTGCGATAATGATTTTAACGTATATTCCCGAAGTAAAGGGTATCGGGATCTCGGGAGAGGCAATCGTTTCAGGTTTGTTTTCCGGATGGTTCTCGAAGGGTTCCACAAGGGCTCAGGGCTCCATATGGTTTTATCGAGGTTTAACCCTAAACCCTTAACCCTAGGTCTTAGGGTTTAGGGGTTTAGGGTTTAGGGGCTTATAGGGTTGAGCAGGGAAATGAACTAGGGGCCTCAAGAATAGGAACCAACCAAACTGATGTAGCATGACCCCTAAGGCGCCATGTACCTATGCAGTATATGCTTCCGCCTTAATGTACCTTTACAGGAAGCCCCTTTTCCGCCAAAGCATATACCACATGATTTCCTGAACTAGTATGTGGATACTTGTGCTAATAGTTCAGATCCCTGTAGTAAACCCAATGTTCCGCGCAGCAATGCAGCAAATATACTGGCCCTGAAATTACATAAAAGGAATGCTGTAGTACAAATAAGCATACCTACTTGGTCCCACCCCCGTGCTGCATGGATTGTTTCGTGGCAAATGGAACCAAATTAAGAGGCTATAGTGCTTTGCTGTTTCGTTAAGTGCTTTGACATCCAGTCAGACTGCGGGGTTTAGGGTTTAGGGTTGCAGGCTTAGGGTTTAGGGTTTAGGGTTTGGGGTTTAAGGTTTAGGGTTTAGGGCTTAGGGTTTAGGATGTCGGGCATACATAGGGGGCACGAAAACACTTTCAGGAACTCTGCAGCGAGACTTGGGGCTTACGGCATCTCAGGTCCCCAGACGGTTCCATATATACTATACCATTGAGTCCCCAGAACAAAACAGCCTAATTATGGGGACCCGATTCCATAATGACAAAGACAAGTATATGCGGACACTCTGAGGGTTATGGGATTTCAGAGTACTCGCTGCCAAAGACCTGATGAGCTGAGGCTGATGCAGTGCCACCGAACCCAGAGGGTCCGGTTTAGGGTTTAGGGCGTAGTATCAGTCTGAAACTGGGTCCCAGAACCATAATAAGGATGGTCTTTTGGGTCCTAATTCCATAGTGGGAGTAGATACAGAGCCTATGGGCCAACGGGATGATTGATAGCTGTAGTAAACTGCGTCACAAAAATAAAAAACTTACGCCAGAACAATCCCCGCGACCTAGACCCTGCTTGAACCCGAAATAACCGACCCCTTTAAAATGAGAAACCCTAAAGCTGTAGGTTTCTTAATTTGTCTGGTCCAGGGAACAATCGGTTTTACAAGCCTCAAATGTCCGAGTACTTAGCACTCAGATATGCTCCGAAAGGTTAACCTAGCGTTTCTAGCTACCTTTTAGTTCTATGTACACATTTGTACACATTTATGTGCAGGTTCCTGGAAGGTTTCGTGTAAAAAAACCCTAAACCCCTAAACCCTGAATCCAAAGGTCCTGTTTAAACCCTAAACCCTAAAACCCCAAACCCTAAGCCCCCAAACCCCTGCCAGACTAAACCCCGATGCCCTCAGCCTCAAAGGCCGAGGGTCTTGAACTCACCACCGACCTCACACTCTTGGCTCGTCATCACCTGATTTGGGGGTTTAGGTTTGGAGTTTAGGGGTTTGGGGTTTAGGGGTTTAGAGGTTTAGAGGTTTAGGGGTTTAGGGGTTTAGGGCTTAGGGGTTTCAGGGTTTATAGGGTTAAGGGCTTGGAGTGTATAGGGTGTAGGGTCTTAGGGTTTAGGGGTTTAGGCTTTATAGGGTTCAGAGGTTTAGGGTTTAGGGGTGAGGGGTTTGGGCTTAGGGCTTAGAGCTTGTTCTGAAAATCAAGGTATCATTCCCTAAACCCTAAACCCTGCACCCTAAGACTGAATTTCAGTCGGGCCTTGTGATACGATGGTGCTGGACAGCCGCTACGCAGTCCCATCTTCAACCCTAGTTAAACCCCGCACCCTTCACCCACCCGCAACCCTAAACCCTAAACCCTAAACCCCTGAACCCCTGAACCCTAAACCATAAGCCCTTAACTCTGAACCCCGCACCCTCTAAACCCCAAGGACAGCTTTGCGCTTGAAGTTTCTGGGCTTGGGGTTTAGGGATTAGGGCAAGTTTAGGGTTCTTGGGGTTTCTTTTGTCTCCCTGAGGTTCAAGGTGATCTGCAGGAGCAGGCCAACAATACTAAGCACCCACATCTGAATTACTGAACCGCACTGTCCAGAGCTGACATGCGTCGATGTACGACGCAGTACAGATCAGTGCACAAAGTATGTTTATCATGCGCCTCTATGATCATGAAGAACAGTGTGTGGTTACGTATGTGCTTTGCTTATGTGCCTTCATGTAAACATGTGTGTGTGTGTGTTTGCCGAAGTGCTGCGAAGCTTGAAACTGAACGTTTTCGGCAAAGGCGACGCGTCAGAAAAAGGACTCAACTTACGAGCCCAAGGCTACCTAGGTGCGTGCCTTTCCCAAACAGGTGCTTCCAACATGAGCGACGGCCGGAGTCTCCGGGAGGGCACTCGCGACAAAGGAGCTGTTTTTTTAGAGCTCTGTTACGTGGTTCTCAGGCATCGCCGGAGCCCAAAGGCCCAGCCAGGGATTCTTCCAGTTCTTCGGCACTTGAGCGTTGCCCCTCTGAACCTCTGTGCCGTCCCAGGAAGAAGGGGAGAAGAGGAACTGGAGCAGGCACGGCTTCTCTGGCATCTCGTCGGCACTTTCTCTGCCTTAAAGCCAAGAGGACCAACGACTGGAGGCCGGGGCGGTGCAGGACCACTTGCAGCGGTTGCGCGAACTTGGCCTGTTGCGGCTGGCGCAGTGCAGCTCGGGAGGTTCTTCTTCTGCTGCTCGTGGTAGAAGTCGTGGCACTTATCGGCCAAAATGTGGGTACCAGCATGCAAGACCGTGAGCTGCTGCTCAAGACCCCAGACATCAATGAAGGCAATGCGCCTCCTTATCCGATGCAAGGTCGCCATGTGCGTTGCTGCGCTGTCTGTGTCCATTGCGACCTCGGCACGAAGTTTTCATCCGCGATTCTTCCCCTAGGATTTCGGTTGCATACATGTGTACAAACTGAAAGGTCAGACCCAAACCCTAAACCCTCAACCCCGAAAACCCTAAACCCTTTCACCCTCAACTCTTCACCCGAGACCCTGAACCGTATACACCTGAACCATTAAACCCTAAGACCCTGCACACCCTATACACCCCAAACCCTTAAACCCCTACAAGCCCTGAAACCCATAGACCCTTTACACCCCAAATCCGTAAACCCCATAAACCCTCAAACCCATAAGACCCTATGATTACCAATGCTGTTTTGGGGGTTCCTTATCATAATAGTAGTACAAAGGGCCCCAAAACCCTATTCTAATCATTTAGGCCCCTAGCCTATACCCTAAACCCTACACCCTAAACCCCAAACCCTGAAACCTACCCCTAGCCTACACCCTAAACCCTAAACCCCAAACCCTAAACCCTAAACCCTAGCCTATACGATTATAATCAAGCGCAAACCCCGAACTCTGGAGGCGGGCCTTGCGTGTCTCCAAGCCTGGTGCAATGACCATCGCCTGGTTGCTGTACACCTGGCTTTAGCGTTTAGGGTTTAGGGTATAGGGTTTAGGGTTTAGGGTTTAGGGTTTGGGGTTTCTGGCGTCTGCAATCCCAAAGGGTCCTAAGTACCCAAATAGGTTCCTTTAAGGGTTCCTTGAAGGGTTCCGTTAATATAAGGGTTCCCTGAAGGGTTGCTCGGAGGGTTCCTTTAAGGGATCCTTGGAGGGGCGAGCGACTTGGTGTTTATGGTTTAGGGGTCTAGGGCTTAGGAGTAAGTAGGTAATAAGTAGTAGATTTATAAGTACCCTAAACGGGATCCTAATTGGGGTTGTGGTGGATATAACTCCATAATATACTCTATAATATAACTACGGACTAGTCCCCCGAACCCCCAAACGGCGTCTGCAATCCCAAAGGGTCCTAAGTGCCTAAATGGGTTCCTTCAAGGGTTCCTTTAAGGGTTTGGGGTTCCTTGTCATATGAATACCTAAATTGCGGAACTCAAGGTTTCTATGTTCGGAACTACTCTTATGCTTTGGGGAAGTATCTCCCATGACGGTACCTAGGACCCTTCGGGAGTCCTTTACGGCGTCTCACTACCCTGTTCCCTAAGGGTTCAAAGGACCCAATAAGAAGATACTTAGGTTTCGGATAGCAGTTGTGTAGGTTACTATTTGGATTATTGGGTACTTGGACCCTTGGGAGTTGAAACATGTTGAAACATATAGCTTTCCCTATGAGGGCTCCAGTTACCTAAACAATGGATTACTGGGCTATCGATTTTAGGGTTGGTAATTAGTACCCGACTGTTTGAGTTACTGGAGCCCTAGGGTATCCCTTCTGAGATATTCGTGGCTTTAGAAACACCGAGAACCCTAAACAGACAATCTGCGTGCAACAGTTACGTTCTTAGGCTAGCACGGGACCTTTTAGGATAACCTGGCTACAACAGTTACGTCTTTAGGGCCTTCTTTGTGAAGAGCCATGGCCCTAGCAGGCATAAAACTTGACAAGACTCTACGCTTCTGGCTGTGTTTTTTGGTTTAGGGTTTAGGGGTTTAGGGTTTCGGGCTTGAGGTTTAGGGGTTTAGGGTTCAGGTTTGGGGCGGTTAAGGGTTTAGGGTTCTGAAGGTAAATAAACAAAGCACACAGAATCGACTCCAAGCACTATCCCTAAGGGTCCATGTGCCCAAATAGTATATACTTTGGCCTTAAAGTAGTCCCTATATAGGTACTTTGGGGCCAATGTATATACTATATGAGTACATGTACCCTTAGGGTAGCAGCGCGAAACCCTCAATCTGAATTCCTCCGCAGAATCTGAAGGCACTAGTAGGGTTTTGGGTTTCGGGCTTAGGGTTTAGGGTTTTAGGGTTTAGGGTTTTGGGTTTTGGGTTTAGGGTTTAGGGTTTAGGGTTTTGGGCTTTGGGTTTCGGGTTTCGGGTTTAGGGCTTATAGAGCATCCAGAGGAAACGCGTCGACGCAGGGTCGAAGACAAGGATACTGGCTTAGGGGTTTTAGGGCTTATGGGGCCTAGGTTTGGGCTTGAATGTTCTAATCCGGGCTTATACTTCAAGCCGCATGGCTGGTGAAAGTGAGAAGAGTCTTCCAAACCGAATACATGCTGACCAAAGCCGGAGGTTTGTCATGGAGGTACCACCAGCCCCGCACGCTCAACCACTACGGCTTGCATGGTAGGAGTTAGGATCAGGGGGACCCTTGGAGATTTGGACATAGCCTCTCATCAAGGTCCCTTCGAAGAGAGCCGGAAGTAGGGTTAAGAAGGGAACCCTTCACGGGGTCTCCCTATTACTGCCTATAGGACATGGGCCCCTACCTCCCAGAGATTGGAAAGGGTTTAGCGGTTTTGGGTTTAGGGGAATACTCCTTGAATTTGAAGTACAATGCTTCCTCGCTTACCGCAGAATTACTCCAGAAGCAAACATTGAACAGCCAGAATACGCCTGGTACTCGTCGCATTCAAAGATGCCGGCGTGCTGCGCATACTGCATTTGAATCAATCCTGACGTGGCTCAGCCTACCCTAGATCTTAAACTCAGCTTGCGGTGGGGGCTCGGAAGATCCGTCAAGTCTGCACCCACGGTATCCGAAATGGTAAGAATAATATTTTGCGATTTTGCACAGGATATAATACTTAACTTCAAGTCTATAACAACGTATTATAACAATTCTGTGCTGAGGCTTCTTAACGTCCTCACTACCATGCTTCAGACGCAGCTCCGGCGATTTCGACGAACTGCTAGCGTTCCACGGAGGTGTGTCAAATTTCCCAAAGGTTCAAGTACCAGTGTCCTATAGATGTTACCCTAAGAATCCAAAGGACCCAATCATAAGGTGCTGGGTCTAGGATAGTACTTGGGTAGGCTACTATTTTGGAGAGTATATGGTTATTAGGCACATGGACCCTTCGCGCTATGGTCTCTTGAAGTAGCTACTATTCTGGTAGCTATATGGACTACATACCTCTGAGGGCGCAGAGTACAGTATTCGGAGAAGGCTTCAGGATAGGTGTCAAGCTTGTGTGAAACTGTCACATATCCTAAACCCTAAGATGCATGGGCTTTCTGAACAGTTTAGGGTTTAGGGTTTAGGGTTTAGGGTTTAGGGTTTAGGGTTTAGGGTTTAGGGTTTAGGGGGCCTGATTCCAAAGACTCTAGTGAAGCCCCAGCTTGAACCACACATGCGCAATCTCCTGTGAAATGCTGCAACATCCGACAGTCTCCGATTCATATAAATGGCTTAAAAGTCGGAATTCGACTATAGGGTTCCGTTAAATGATTTATACGGTAAGAGTTCGATAATGTATGGGACTGAATTTAATAACTAGTATAGAGTTTTTGGAAAATATTATGCTCTACTTTATAAGTCTAATGAGGCACCCAAAGCAATTTAATCATTACAGAATATTCACGGATTAGGGTTGAGGGCTTCAGGGTTTAGGGTTTAAGGGTTCAAGCCCGTAAAGTAGCTCCTTGGGTTTGCCAGCGATTCTGTTTGCATAGGAAGAAAAACGAGATGGACAACATAAAACGAAACTGCAGCTGAGACGATGATAGGTACCCATAGGCCCCATAATAGTTCCTTTTTGGGATTACCTAATAGGATCCTAAATACAATCCACAAAAAGGAACTAGTTTAGGGCGTATGGGTAGCTATTGACCCAGTCTACTAATCCGCAAGAAGCCCTCACGAAGGCGCCCCCCGAGCCCCATCGCGGGGCCTACTTCGTAGGAATAAGGCACCTGCTGGCTGGGTTTACGGTTTATAGTGTTCGCAGGGTCTACCTACGCCCCCCCCACTAAAGGGTACTTGCGGGATCCTGGTAGGGTTGGGGAGTGCGGGTGTAGCTCGAACGTGGAGGCGATAGACTTGCACATGTTGTAGTCCGCAGGTGCTGCAGAACGTAACAGTTGCACTTTTGGGCCCCAAATAGCTACTAGAGGCTATTCTATTGGTGCTTGCACCCTTTTTGTGCCGGTTGCAAGTGAACGGCATGACGATTCTACATTGAAGCCGTGAAATTGTTGGGACATTCTGCCCGTGTCAGTACAGGAAATTTCGGATCATAGAATTTGGGGTCGACTTACAGTTTGCCTTCGCAAACTATATGGTGCTGTATTGAGAGTGGGATTGTATAGGGTTCCGCAAAGGGACCACGATGTTGACAACATCAAGAAGCCTATCGTTCGACTCGATGTCAGAGGTTCACTTGAATTCTGACTCAACCCGAGATCCTTATAAACGAGCTTCTGGCACCCCTGCAGTGCACGTGTACAGAACCCTCTGAGAATGATTCCTTCACTGTCTGTAGAACCCTCATCCCTAACCCTAAACCTCAAATCCGAAATCTGAAAACTCGAAACCCCAAACCCTAAACCCTAAACCCCACACCCCTAAACCCTAAACCCTAAGCCCCACATCCTCAAAAGGGAAACGCCAGGGCACCACCAAGGCCAGGCAAAGGATGCTCTTGGCTTTGGAAGGCTCCGACCTGTCTCTGTCCATCTAACTCGACGGTTTAGGGTTTAGGGTTTTAGGGTTTAGGGTTTAGGGTTTTAGGGTTTAGGGTTTAGGGTTTTAGGGTTTTAGGGTTTAGGGTTTAAGGTCTTAGGGTATAGGGTTTAGGGTTTTAGGGCTTAGGGTTTTAGGGCTTAGGGTTTAGGTTTTAGGGGCAAACGATTAGGGATCCTTTCGGCAATGTTATGTAGGGGCCTGAGTAATTACCTCTACTTTTTTTTTTTGGAGGGGGGGGGGTTCCTTATTATGGCGATCGTACAGTATACCCCACAACCCTATGCTAAATAGTAAATCCCCTACATCATAAACGTTCCATAAGGGTTCTAGGGTTTAGGGTTCAGGGATGAGTCCCTCAGTTCTAGGAGGCTTTGGGGTTGCGAAACTCTGTCGTTCGAAACAGTGTAGCTCAGGGTGATAGGGTTTTGGGCTTGAGGTTTAGGGCCTCTTGCAGCTCATTCGAATCTGGGCTTCCCAAGCTGACGTTCCGGGCTTAGGGTTTTTTGGGCTTAAGGTTTTCCAGCTGTTTATGGGGCATGTATGAAAGTGTTTTACTCAGAGCATGATCCGGCTTATGGAACTTAATCAGGGCATGATGCCGATGCTGTCAGGCTTTGACCAGTTCAGATCTCCACAGACGCCCAGTTTCCTGCTTCAAGGGCCTCATGGCTTATGGCCTGTTGAAGGATTTCGAAACCAGGGGCAGCATTGCACATGGCGTATATGTGGCTTATTTAAAGCATTATTATGGTTTAGGGTTTAGGGTTTACCGTTACCCAATTTATATGGATTGCCTTCAGGAGCCAAGCTACCCTAAAACCTTGTCGTTGCTAGCCAGTCCGAGCTCGAGCCCCCTAAACCCTGAACACAGTCTTTCGGGTTCTTGAAGTAGATTTACCTGAATAGTTCTTGTGTAAGTTAGGGGAGGCACTGCCTACGTTTTAGGATCCCCGGTGGGAATGTCCTACATACTTCCTGAAAAGCACGTTCTGTGGCGAACCCCAAAAATCTAGTGGGCCAACGTAAGCACGAAGTAACCGAGTTCCCAACCTCCTAAACCCGAAATGTCTAAAGACGGAGTCGGGATAGCCCCAATCTTTAAAGCGGCTTGGCTCATGGCCTTTTGAACCCCAAACCCTACAACCTAAAGCCCTCAACCGTTTTGGCGAATAAGTCGATCCAAAGCACCCCCGCGGCAAAGGCATGGTGAACTTGTCAATGTCGCTCTCCGGCCAGATAGCATTTTCCGGGGTGGCCTCAGACATATAATGCCTAAGGAATAAGGTTTCTATATGTTTCTACTGTTTCGGGGTGGCGCAGACGTAGGATAAAATGGGGACCTTAGCAATCAGAACAGGGTTTTGAAGCATTCCGAAGAAACAGGATGTCTATTTCTTGTAATCGAAGCCCTGCGCGGAACCACCAACCTGGATGCAGGGCTTAGCCAAGCGTGGGCCTTTCGTGACTGAGCCAACCAACATGTATGGCTCATGTACCACTCCCACACCAGGCACCCATGACACGCAGTCTCTCACTGCAGCTGTCAGATCATTGGAGAACTGGGCCAGCCTCTCGGATGCATTCCGAAACAGAGCTTTCTGATACGCACAGGAATTGCAGCGTTGAGGTACTCGCCAGCCACAACAAAGCACAGGAAACCACTCCACCCGCAGCCTCTGATACTCAGATTGCTCAACAAGCCGCGCTCGGCATCTGCGACCGATAATTAAGGGCCTCAATAACTAGAATAGGGTTTTGGGTATATTATGCTATAGTTCTAGTAAAGAACCACCAGGTAATTATTTAGGCCCCTATATTACCGCCACGCATTTCGTCACACGGAGCTCGTTTTGAAGGTGGCTGACCTGTGCACGGCTCTGTTTTTGCCTCAAGAGGAAAAGCCCCAACCCCAAAGCAACAAACCCCAAATTGCACAGGGGCAAACCCTAAACCCTACAACCTAAAAGTGTAAACCCCTAAACCCTACAACCTAAAAGTGTAAACCCTAAACCCTAAACCCTACAACCTAAAAGTGTAAACTCCTAAACCCTACAACCTCAAAGTCTAAACCCCTAAACCCTAAACCCTAAAAGTGTAAACTCCTAAACCCTAGACGGGCCAACTCAGTGTCTTTGTGGCTGGCCAGGGGATCGGTGCAGGAGCCAGCTCCAAAATACAACCCTCGCCCTGCTCTAGTGCAACATATATAGGGTTTAGGGTTTAGGGTTTAGGGGTTTATGGTTTAGGCGTTTAGGGTATAGTCTAGGGATTTTATAGGGTAGAGAGGGTTTAGGGTTTGGGGTTCCTTTGTCATTGCTGTTCGAGTGCTTTCCGTTCTGAAGCACAAAGCTGCTACAGAAAGAGTGTCAAACGAAACGTGGGCTAGTCTTCCTGCCTGCTTCATCCTCGGTACTGCAGGCCTTCGGCACTCTGGTGAGTGACTTGCTTGGCGTAGCCCTTGCTCTAAACCGTCATCTCAATCTAAACATCAGGCCGGACTCCCCTGAACCCTAAACCGTAAACCAAACACACCGCCTTATATGCTAAACAAATGCCCTGCCGGGGCTGGCAGCGATAGTTATGCTGGCAGAACCCGTATAATTTATGAATGTACGTACTTGTTATAAATTCTAAACCCTAAACCCTAAACCCTAAACCCCTTAAGGAAGTACAATAGGGATGCTATGAGTAGCCCCTTATATTAGACCATGAGCCGCCAACCCCAAAGCGGATGCTGTGTAAGCGTTCAGCCTTGAGCACCCCTAACCCCTAATCCCCCCTAACCCTAAACCCCTAGACCCAAAGCCCCTCAAGCCTAAACCCCAAAACCCAGAACCCTAAAACCTGCACCCCTAATCCAGAATTTGCTAAGCCCTCAACCCGTAAATTCTGAACACTGGAGCGCGCACACATACACACCGACCGAAAAGACAAGTTTCACCAACGATTGAAAACAACCACTGAACTTGCGCCAGATTCGCTCGACAGCCGCACGGCAAGCCAGAAGTCATTCCATCCTGTCGGCGAGGGGCCCTAAACACTATAAACCCGACCCCAAAATCAGACATTTGAGTTCGCGTGTGGTATAAACTATGAGGGTGTAGGGTTCATGTGCTGTTTTCCTCCCTCTCTCTCTCTCTCTCGCTCTCTTTCCCTCTCTGTTTATGGGTGAGGTTCCTAGTTTAGGATTTCGCCTGAATGCGGGTTCGGGGTTTTTGTGGTCTAGGGGCAGGTGTGCTCAGTTACTTGAAACAATTTAAGAAAATGTGTATCCAGATCCTGACGAAGTCAACCTCACAGTCTGCACCGTCAATACTAGAGGAGCTGAAACACAGTTCACAGCTTACTTGCCTGAACACCACAGAACCGTGATCCTTTAATGCGTCAGCATTCAAAACTTATCTGCCAGCCAGACCGCAAAAATCCCAAGACAGACGCAGAGCTGCGGAGTGCTTACAGATCGAGTACCCCGCAACCCACGAATTCAACCTCAAGTGTGCCACTGTGGTCTGAAAGACAGGTTGGGATCTGAACACCTTGGAGCTACGCCGATCACCCTGCATCGAGACGACTGACTTGAGCACAAGTGACCCTTAAATCTCATTTGCAAACTTCAACCCCTAACCTCAGGGAGACCAAGACGATAAACAAGCTTCGTGTGGACTTAGTAGTAGGCATCTGGGAACCGAGTTGATGAAGGATCACGGCTGACATAGAAGTGTCAAGCCTACAGGCTTTAACGCAGAAGTCTGCTGAAGAAGTACAATACAAACCTTGAAAATCCCAGAGCACCTGAATTCAGAAACCCTCAGTTTTAAAAAAGCAACGCAAAACCTGCAAACCTCTGCAACTGACACATCCCTTGTACGAGATACCGTACTTCACTGTAGAACACTCTGCGAGTTCACCAGAGAACGATTACCCGAAACCCTCAAACACATGTCGAAAGCCTGTACCAGAACCTACCAAATTAAGCCCTAAACCGAAATTCGTTACCCTAAACCCTCAAAAACATGGCACCTACCAAAGTAATGACCCTAAACCCTAAACCCAAATCGATTATCCTAAACCCTCAAGCACATGGCTACGTCGAACCCTTCAATCACCCTAAACCCTAAACCCCTGAAGCCTAAACCCTAAACCCTAAACCCTAAAACCCTTAAACCGTGTCGACCTTCCATTCCCCACGCCGCCCCGGCCTGGGGCTGGATCCTCGGGGTTTCATCAGGTGCCAGCCTCCGAAGGAAGCACCTCAGAGGCTTTGGGTTTGGGGTTTAGCGCTGAGGGTTTGGGGTTTAGGGTTTAGGGCTGAGGGTTTGGGATTAGGGTTTGGGGTTGAGGCTTCGGGGTTACGGTTTGGGGTTGAGGGTTTTGGGGTTTAGGGCTTATAAGGATTTAGGCTTAGGGCTTAGGGCTCGGGGCTTGGAAGGTTTATGCTGTTTCCCGAAGATCCAAATGCCCTATACAGTAAGCACATGTACCTTGGATTATAGGGGGGGGGCTTCGTGTTGAGGTCTACGGTATAAACCCCATAATTCATGTAGGGGCCGTAACAATTAGAATAGGCATTTGGGGGCTCCTTTTTATAGCCATAGTATGATATACCCCCAAACCCCATTCTAATTACTAAGGCCCCTATATTTATTAAGCGGGTAGTGGGACCCGCGGGTTCCCTCAAGGTCAAGGTGTTGCAATTTTCGGGGGCTGAGGGAGTAGGATTTAGGGTTCTTCGAGGGCTTAAGGTCCGGGTATTGGGCTTTCTGGGTCCGGATTCTGTGGAGAGCGGGTAGTTCGGGGCATAAGGGATCCAGGAGTTGCAGCTCAAAACTTTAAGGGTTTCGGGTTTAGGGGTCTAGGGTCGAGGGGTTTAAGGGGGTTTAGGGTCAAGGTTAAGGGGGTTTAAGGTTTCGGGTCGACGGGTTAGGTGGTAAGGGTTGAGGTTTTAGGTTTGAGCGTCTAGGGTTTAAGATTATGACTCAGGGATTAGGGCACTCCGTCTGTCCTAGCACCGATCTCGAGCTGCAGAATTGCGGTAGTTGAAGCGTTTCTGCCTCACGGCAAACCCAACCCTTAACCCGGCCGAAACCCTAAACCCTAAACCCTAAAACCCTTAAACCGTGAACCCTAAACCCTAAACACTAAAACCCAAAAACCCTAAACCCTAAAACCCTAAACCCTACAACCCTACAACCCTAGAACCCTTAATCCTAAATCCCGTAATCGCAGAGCCTAGTAGAGCCGACACCAAGGTTCCTGGCAGGAAACCCCATACTTGCTTGAGGGCTCCAGGCAAACTCTTGATGCTTAACTGCTGACTTGGAGGCCCAGGGGATTTAGTAAGTAGGTTATAAGTAGAGTTATAAGTACCCTAAATGGAGTTATCCCAGTTATAACCCTACTTATAACCGACTTACTACGTCCCCTGGGCCTCTAAGTAATATGTTAGCCCCCTAATCATAAACCCCTAAACCCCTAAACCCTAAACCCTAAACCCTACTGTGACCCGAAACGGGTTAAGGGTTAAGCCTGGAGCTTGTAGGTCGAACTACTTACCATGTGGATACGGTTGATGGACAAAATCCTGCATGACCTTATGTACCTAAACTATGGGATTTATGGTACTATACTATATTTGGGTCATGCAGAATTTTGTCCATCAACAGTAGTTCTCTAAGTTAGGGTCCCCAACATGGTCTGGCACCCTCATAACAAGGATGATAGGAGGGCCCAGACAAGCTACTCAAAATGCAGGACTCCGCCGCCTCAGCTTGCAGCCCGCTGTCACTCTAGTTACCACAAGACCCCGAACCTAGAAGGGACTGTCCGAATTCGGAGCTGAGCTCAACCCCAAACCCTACCTATAGTCTCCGTTGTAGTTCCTTTTTGGGAAATCCTGAAAATATGTTTGGTTAAGCCAGAAAAAGGAACTACAATGGAGACTATAGGCAAACTCCAACAACTGGAAGCTTCAAACCCAGAGCCCTGGACCCCCCAAAACCTGGAACCCTAAACCCTGAACCCTAAACCCCAAAATCTTGAATAACACCTAAACCCTAAAATCCCCAAACCTGGAACCCGAAACCCTAAAGCCCTAAACCCCAAAAACCTCAAGCCCTAAACCCCTAAACTTACTGAAACCCTAAACCCTTAACCCCAAAACCCTCAAGCCCAAAACCAGGAACCTGCAACAAGACGAATTCCAAGTCGCACTTCGCCGCTCGTGGAGCCAGGTGGCAATCCTTGGGTTTAGGATGTAGGGTTTAGAGTTTAGGATTACAGATTTATTGTTTAGGGTTTAGGATTTAGGATTCAGGGCTTAGAGTTTAGGGTTCGGGGGGGTCTCAAATGTTTGGGGCTTAACCTGAGGAGCCCAAGAAACCCTCATCTGGTTTGAATATGGCAAGGTGGTGCAACTGGTGTGTCTGCTTTCCGTAATATAGGGGCCTTAATAATTCGAATAGGGTTTTGGGACCCATTATACTATGGTTGTACTAAGGAACCCCCCGCCCCCAAATAGCATAGGTAATTATTTGGGCCCCTACATTATGCCGTTCTGCATGCTAGATCAGCCAGACGCAGCTTTTATCCCCATTTAGGGTTGATGGTTTAGGGTTTAGGGTTTCGAGTTTAGGGTTTAGGGTCTAGGGTCGCGAAGTCTATCATGTAAAGCTTGACCTTGGCCAGCTGCTGGCAGTCGACACAGAGCGAGGAGCGTGCGTGAGCCCCCGAAAAACGTCTGGTGTCGCAGGATGACATAATCCCCCTCGTAGCGCACCAGGGTGGTTCAGGGTTTAGGGTTTCTCCAGAGGAGAACCCTTGACCAGAGGCATGCCGCGAGCCATTGATGCAGGCTTGACTCGACCCCAAGTCAACCAAGACACGCTCAGCCCTACCGAGTTTAGGTGCAGAGCACTCACACGTCAACTGCAAAGGGAGCCGCGGGCTGGCTACAATAGCCATCATCATCATCATCATCATCATCATCATAGTGAAAACCATACTAACAGTAGTCCGGCACAGATGCTTCAGGTGCTGACAGCCATGATTCTCTATGACTGCTGTACGAAGGAGGGAAGCCTGTCCAATGCAGGGACCTGGAGAATTGCATAAGGTTTGGAGGTAGATTGCAGCCTTGAAGATTTAACATTACAGGGACTGGAAGGAAAGATTATGCTGATATTCGGGACGTTGGTAGCATCTTATCAAGCAAGACTGTCCTAGTGAAACTTGAACCCTGAATTGTACACTGTAGGCTCAGTGCAGGTAGCCAAAACCGTTGTCGGGTTTGTCGGGCGTGTGCTGCTGCGTGCTCTCTTGCTGTTGGGAGTCGCGGAACTATTGAGGTTATGTGCCCACAAACTTAAAAACCTTAACCAGAGCCTAGTCGTCATCCTAGACACGACATCACGTCTAAATTCTGAACAAAGGGGTTGTAGTGATTCGAATGGTGTTGCAGTGTACTGAGACTCAGGAACCGCAAGGAATAGCTCGTAATTAACTGAGACCACTAACCCAGAGGGTCCATATACAGTACCAAAATGGAATTAGGTCCCAAAAGACCAGCCTTATTATGGCTTCAGGGATCTAACTCCATAATAATAGTATATATGGCCCCTCTTGGTAATTGGAGGTGTAAGACTCAAGACACAGCATGGCCACAGTAGATTGGAAGCCAACCACATCCCTGAACGGCACAAAGCGCACAGAACCAGTTCACACTCCAAAGCCCCTTGAAATAATACAGTTAAGCCTCAAACATATTGTAAGCACCTTTGAAAACTTTCAGAATCACACTAAACCACAGGAAGCTTATCGCGCGTTGCAAAACCCTAAGGCTTAGGTTCCCAAATTCCTTAACCCTTACTGGGCTTTGAAGTAACCAGCGAGAAAAAAGTATAGACGTTTATTTCATAATGGTTCCTTTAAGGAACAGGTCCCCAAGAAAAAGGTATTAAAGTATGGTACTCCAAAGCCCAGCTTACTTCCAGAATCCTACTAAACCCTAAACCCTAAGACCTATAAACCCTAAACCAAGGCCCTGTCCGAAAGTGAAGGCTCCGCAATCCGACCGCTTCGTGCACGCCTGTCCAAGGCCCTAAATCCCCAGAGACTCCAATATCCCTTAACTAAGGAATGTACCTTAAATTATAATAGGATCCCTAACATGATTTAAGGTATGTTCCTTAATTAAGGGATATTGGAGTCTCTGGGTCTTTAGGGACCAAATGACCCTTGAAAGTGGAGGCCTTAATACCCAGGTTGAGGGTTTAGTTAAGGTTTAATTAGGGTTTAATTTGGGTTTAGGGTTTAAGGGTTTAGGGTTTCAGGGTTTTGAGTTTAGGGCGCATCTACAACTGTTGATGATATAAATCCTGCATTACGTTAAGGACCCTAAACTATGGGAATCGTGGTATACTCCTTATCCTTATTAGTGAGTAAAGCAGGATTTGTATCATCAACCGTATGAACCTCTGTATGGTATATGATCCTTAAACCCTTCGCATGTCGTCGTTTAGGTACAGTTCCAAGTTTGGGTCATAGGGTTTACGGTGTATGGTTAGAACTCTGCACACGTGCATGTGTAGGGCTTGGGTTCGTTTAGGAGTTGTTTGCCGATCCCTTGGGGTTGGTCCGTTAGAGACTGTCTCCGGTTAGACACGGTCTGTTGTTGCACAGGATCTTCCGTTGCACCATGTTACACCCTAATCCCTCGAACTCTAAACCCTAAAACCGTCAAGCCCTGAAACCCTAAACCTTAGAAACCCTAAACCCGTAAACCTTTAACCCTGAAGCCCTAAACCCTAAAACGCTAAAGCCCGAAACCCTCAATACCCTACAGCCCTGTGTCTTCTGCTAGACAAGCTCCTCTGTTCGGCCAAGAGCTCGGACGCTTGGCTTGGACTGCCTTATCTCCTAGGTAGTATTAAGGAGACCTCTTAAAAGGGGAGCTTTCTTAACCCTAGTTGCGGCTCTCTTGAAAGGGACCTTATTGAGACGGTCTATATCCCAAGGGTCCCCCTAATCCTAACTCCTATTATCTTTGGTATATCTATCTATTCACCGATCTACCCATCCGTCTATCTGTCTATCTACCCAAATATCTATCTACCTATCTATCTATTTATCTAGCTATCTATCTATCTATCTATCTATCTATCTATCTACCTATCCGTCGATCTATCGGTCTATCGATCTGACTATCTAACTAAGTAAATAACTATCGATCTATCTCTCGATCTCTCCCACAATCTGTCCAGCTATCTACCTGTCTATCTATCTAGCTGTTGACCTAGCACCTATATAGTCATACGTGTATACCTCAAGGTGTCAAAGATTGGCTGCCTGGAATGGGTGCATCACAAATTGGCGGTGAGCAGTATCTACGGTTCCCAAGGGCTTCAAAGCTTTATTCCAAGGAGTCATAACCTACTTTATTGGGGTTGAGTTTAGGGTTTAGGGTTTAGGGGTTGAGTGCGAGTTGTCTCCGTCGTTGTTGTCGTTGTGGTGGCACCGTGGTAGTAGCGGCAACAGTTTGTTTTCTGGCGTGAGATGATTGGGGTTTCCACGAAGCCCTCAACATATCCCCTTAGGTCCATGTACCCACATAGTATCTACTTTGGCCATCAAGCCTTCCTTATATAGGTACGTACTTTCAATGCCAAGCCAAGGTTACAGAGTGCAGTCAGCCAATCCTCATTGCGAAAGCCTGAAACCCTAATGTAGGGCCCTTTATAATTTTCAATATGGTTTTGGGCTCCCTTTTAGAATAAATATAAATATAATAAGGAACCCCCAGAATAGTATTGGTAACTATTCAGGATCCTATATTAAACCCGGAGCATCTGAAGCGCTAGATGGGGGTTTCCGGAAATAGAGAAGCCTAGTATAGTACCCTAAATAATAGGATCCTTATTATAAGAACTCCCAATATAAGGTACCCCTAATTTTCGGAAACTCCCAGATCCCTGTCTCTAATCCACGAAGCCCTAAAGTGCTGGGCCTTCTGGCAGTCATACGCAGTCGCGAGGTCCGGCAGTTGTTGCAGAACTGCAGTAGCATTGTAAGACTTCGCAGTTTATGGGCTTCTAGGAATTCATGGCTTTCGGATGTAGGGGGCAGGGTTTAGGGCCTAGGCTTATGGGTTTTTGAAAGGTAGTTTCAGGCTTAACGGGTGCAGGGATGTTTAAGATTTAGGGTGTATGTAGGTGCTTGGGATAGGAAAAGCTGGGGTTAAGGCGGCCAAAATGCTTTTGGGTCAAAGGCTTGAGCGAGTTTAGAGTAGGAGGGGTCTGGGGACGCCATAAACTAGGGTCTACTGTTGCGCGTCTTAAGTGCTGCAACTGCAAGGGCCATACGAGGGTTTCACGGGGCGTAATGAAGGCCTTGATAGGGAGTTCTACACCTTTCTAAGGGGTTACCGCGCCATAGGGCTGTCAAGCATTATTCGCCAGTTCCTCAGGAGCCCTCAGTGTGCTCAACAGACACCAAATATGAGCCGCACTTCCCCTGAGAACGGCTAGTTCCATTAGACACCAACGCATCGAAACCTTAGACCCTTATAACCTCGAACCCTAAAGCCCTAAATCCTAAACCCGCAACCCTGCATCTGCACCCCTAACCTATACAGCGAGAGTAACTCCTACCAAAACCCTTTTTTGAACGAGGTCTCTCTGAAGTGCCTCCAAGCTGCCCGCCACAGCGACCCTAAACCCTAAGCCCTAAACCCTAAACCCTATAAACCCTAGACTCCCAGACCCTAAACCTGAGACTCCCTAATGGCAAAGCTGACCTAGCAGAGTTCTGCATTCCGCAACGTCTTCATTGAGTCGAAGACATATGCCACGCCGGCGGTATGCCGCTGCCTCACCTCCTTGAAAGCCGCAAAGAGAAAGGAGCCCTTGAGCACACGAAGGTTCCGCTCTTCCAATGGTCCGCCGGCCCGCAGTCGGCTGCGCTCACGAAGAAAGTGCCGGCCGAAGTGAAGCCCATCCGAGCAGAAAAGCGATGCCTGCTTTGAATAGTTTACAGGGGCATCATTAAGGTTTAGGGTTTAGGGTTTAGGGTTTAGGGTAACGCTAGAACAGGGTGTTATGCAAGAGCTTCCCGTCTTGCGGCGAAAACGGAAGCGGCCAGCCGACCCATTCGGCGGCCTCTGGGCGGATTTGAGATTCTGATTCTGTTATTGAAACTTTAGGCTTCAGGGTCTCGTAGGTCTTGGAAGATGAGACTATGACCATGCCATTCGAACCCGTGGTTTAGGGTTTAGGGGTTTCGGGGTTTAGGGGCTAGGGGTTTATGGGGACCCCTGAAACCCTAAACCCTTAACCCTAAACCCCTAAACCCCTAAACCCTTAACCCCTAAACCCTAAACCCTAAACCCTTAAACCCCAAACCTGGAAACCTAAACGAAATCAACTGCCCCTCCGCCGGATCTCGCCTTCGGATGTCTGCAAGCTGGTGTCTGCAAGATGCTCGGGACAATCCTTGGGAACCTTCCGAGGTGCAATGCAAATCCTAAACCCTAATAGGGTTTAGGGTTTAGGGTTTAGGGTTTAGGGTTTAGGGTCCTAAACCCTACAAGCACCTTATCATAAATGGGATCGGGTTTAGTTGAGGAGTCAGGGCTTAAGGTTTATATTAATGTAGAAGGTTTGGGGTTTAGGGTTTCATATAGCATTTAGGGTTGACGGCTTAGGGTTTTTTAAAAGAGTTTAGGGTTTCGATGGAATAAGGTTTAGGAGTTAGGGCTTAAGGTCTATATGGCATTTAATGTTGAGGGATTAGGGTTTTTAGAGAGGTTAGGGTTTTGATGGAATAGGGTCTTGGATAGTCTTGGGGTGAAGTAAAGCTAGTACAATAGCTATGTAAGTGATGCAGACAACAAAGGTACCTTATTACCATAAACCAAATGTGGGGTTTCGAGTTGAAGTGGAGTCAAACCCTAAGCCCCAGAGACTACAAAGGAAACCCTAAACCCTACACAGAAAGCTAGTCAGATCTCTTTGTGGGAGGGTTGAAGCAAAGATAGCAACAAGACGACAAAACCCTAAGGTGTTCTGGGTTTAGGTTGCCGATCCGGTCCTTCCTTTCGGTGTTGCATCGGTTTTGTAACCCTAAGGGCCCAAGTACCAAACACACCACATTGGCTTTCGGGTGTAGAGTCGAGTTTAGGTGCAGAGGCTGGGATTTGGGGTCGTGCGTTATAAGGGCCCAAGTATCCAAATCGTTTATCCATTTTGGCCTCCATGTAGCCCCCATTTACGCACTTTAGGGCCCAAGTATATACCATGCATACCCAGCAATAAAATTTCGTCGTGTTTACTAGAGACACTAAACGGAGTACGCGGAGTACAAGGCGTGAGAGAATACCCTGGCCTGGCTAGCGGAGGAATTATCATCCGGGAATGAAATTATAGTACTCTAATTGTTCCGGGCGGAGGACTTGCGGAGGAGTCTACGGCTTCGGGCTTAGGCGTGTAGGGTTCAGGTAGCGCACATACCTAGAGTAGCAAAAATACCAGAAACACATATGCAGACCTATGTTTAAGTACCCTGTCGCTTCTTGTAAGTATATTCGTTCTACCCTGGGTGAACCCTGAACCCAATGCCCTGAACCCTGAACCCTATAGCACCATGGAACCACGCGGAACCCAATGCTGTAAAGGCCTTATAAACTCTGATAGGAGCGCCACCGGGAGCGGCTATGAACAGTACGATTATTGCTGTAAGTGTTGATGTTGTTGTTGTCGTTGTCTTTTTATTTGTTGTTGTTGCTGCTGTTATAATATTTTATCTTGTCGTTGTTGTAGATTGTTACTACTGCTGTTAGTAGTACCACGGCCTCGTTGTCCGCAGACTGGCTCGGCCGGCAGCACGGCAGTCCAGTCATCAGGCCCTCCTTGCTGTGTCTTGCTTGCTCTACTTTTGTTTTGTGCTGTAAGGTCGGTAGTGTCGTTTCTGCTTTGGTGTGTCAGGGATTGGTTTGGGAATGGCGGCGACAAGGTTTTGGGGACTAGAAAAGAGGGGGTTTCGGGTTCCAGGCGTAGTTGGGGGGCTTGCAGGGTTTTCTGAACGACATGGGCCGAAACAGACTCTGCGAAACAGTACCCTAAAGGTCCAAGTAGTCCTTGTTTATGGCTTTAAGTACCCAAAGTCCTTAAATAATGGGTACGTGGACCCTAAGGGGTAGGCTATGACCTGTTGCAGGTTGTAACCCATATAGTAACAGTAGGTGTTGCATCCCCGGGTTCGATTAACCCTAATCCCTAAACTCTAAACCCTGAACCCGGATCCCTGAACCCTGAACTCTGAACCCTAAACCCTAATCCCTAAACCCTGATCCCTAAACCCTGATCCCTAATCTCTAAACCCTAACTAACCCCCAATCCCGAAAAAGGTTTAGGGCTTAGAGGATTAATCGCAGGATTCGGGCTTGGGGCCTAGACCCGGAGTCTGAGGCTTTGGGGTTTGGGGAGGCCATAGGAGTCCTTCTTAGGGCCCAGGCCTTCAGCTTGAGGTTTGTGGCACTTGGGGAGTCCTTAATGGTTGATGTGTATGGAATGGTGGATGTATCTATATATATATATACATATGTTTTTGTTTCTTTATTTTTCCTGGTCCCTATGACGAAGCTTTAGTCCTTGTGGGTGACGAATCACCCATGTCCCTTCAAGTTAGCAGCAGCAGTAGTGGGCAGTGGCAGTTGCAATGGCAGTGGCAAGTGGCACTGTGGCAGTGGCTGTGGCTGTGTTTGTGGCAGCAGCAGTGGCCGGAGCAGTAACACTGGCGATAGTAGTCGCCACAGCGCTGGGAATTGCGGCCCTTGCAAATTATGCTGTGGTTCATGATGTTGTGCGCCCTCTAGCTACTAGCTCGATCCGAACTAGAATCTCGGTAGCCTTCGGGGTGTGCTGTGAGCTGAAGATTTCCATTCCCTGGCCACCCAAAATCCATAGTCTTCTCAGCAAAACATCGGCGCCCTCAACCCGGCCCATTCCGGAAGAAGCAGCGTCCTTGGGCGTCGCTGCAGCATTTGCCTCTTTTGCTGGACATTGGATTTAGGGTTTAGGGTTTAGGGGTGTTGGATGTTCTACCCTTGTCCGGCAAGCTCTTTCGCTCGACCCGCAACTGCAAAACTCAACCCTAACCATCCCTAGACTAAACCCTTGGGGTTTAGGGTTTAGGGTCATCCCTGAACCCGAAACCCTAAACCCGAAACCAGTCCCTAGGCCGAAAGGCTCGCAACTGCCTCCGAAGCCCCCCAGATCCTCCAGTGATCTTGGACGATTGTGGCTTGAATGTTAGCAGGTGTCAAGGCATGCAGCCTCCCTAGAACCCGGAACCCCTAAACCCTAAACCCTAAACCCTAAACCCGAAACCACTGAGGGTTTGGGGCCTTGGCCTCCAAACTGCATCCCAGAACCAACGCCCTTAGCAAAAAGACCTGAAACTTAAACCCCGGCCCTACAACCAAGACCCTAACCTCCCCTAAACCCTTACACACCCAAAACCCTTAAACCCTAAACCCTTAAACCCTAAACCCCAAAACCCTTAAACCCTTAAGCCCTAAACCCTAAACCCCAAAACCCTTAAACCCTAAACCCTCCATAAACCCAGAAACCTGCCTCGCCGTCTGGCAGAGCCACCATGAGGCACGTGCCTCGACAAACCAGAGAATCTCGTGAACCCAAATGGGGGTTGCCGAAAATAGGGGACCCTAATATAGTACCCTAAATAGTAGGATCCTTATAATAAGGACCCCAAGATAAGGTTCCCTAATTTTCGGAAACTCCCAAATGGGTCGAGGGCAAGGATCTCCAGATTGTTTTGGCTTTCGGATTCAGGGTGTGGGTAGCTTTTTTGTTTAGAGGGTTCAGGGTTTAGGGTTTTGGTGGGTTGAGGGTGGTTTAGGGCAAATTTTGTGTCCCCAAAACTGCACGCCCGGAAAACTATACATGACCCCACATTGATATCGAAATCCCACACCCAAGTCAAGATCATTAACCTTAACTGTTGCCTTAACTTCCCTCGCCTCCACCCCCTAAACATCGAAACCTTTCACGCGCAAATCCAAAACCCTAAACCCTAAACCCTAAACTCTAGGAAAAGTCGGCCAAGGAGCTGCTCTCAGCACTCCAGACGAAGGCATCGCAGTCCGTGTGTTCGGTGCAGACCTGTCCCAGGCAGCTAAAGGTTTAGGGTTTAGGGTTTAGGGTTTAGGGTTTAGGGTTTAGGGTTGCGTAGAAGGAAGTAGGAGCCTGCAGGCTTCTGTGGGGTTTAGGAAGCAAGGACCCTAAATCCTAAACCCTAAACCCTAACAAAGTTTGTGAGTTTTTGTTGGTTCAAAGGCGCTTTTCTGTCTGCACGAAGTCGGGCTGTGAGGGTTTAGGGCTCAGGGCCGTGAGGGTTTAGGGTTCAGGGTTGTGAGGGTTTAGGGTTCAGGGTTGTGTTTAGGGTTTAGGGTCGTGAGGGTTTAGGGATTAAGCTTCAGGCTTGGGATCTAAGGATTACGGTTTAGGGTTCAATTAGGCTTGGCCAAGGGATTCAAGGTTTCGGGTACAGGGGTTAGGGTTCAAACCGGGGTTATGCCATAAGCTAGAAAACGAGGGTTTAGGGTTCAGGGTTTTGTGCGAACCGGGGCTATGCCAAGCTAGAAATACGCAGAATATACGGGCCTTGGAAAGTTAGAACCACCTTGTCAGGAGGATATTAAGACACATTCATGCTGTGTTGTAAACCTAAACCCTCAACCCCAAATCATAAACCTTAAACCCCTCAGGAAACCCTGTCAACTCTTCAGTTGTTGACCATGGCCAGGACGTCCTACCAGTCGAAAACACAAACCGCATACTGCACCCAAACACCTCAAAGCTGTGTATACGCAAATCCTCAACAAAGTGGGAGTAATTTGTTGGTCGCCTACATAACTATCATCCTTATTCTTGGGACGCCTGGTAACCCAGAGAGTCTACATGAATCTGCACCACGCTTGCGAGACTGGGCCCCGAAACCCATATCCCCATTGTGGTTTTTCGGGACCTACTTTCACACTGGTAACACATTTAAACCCAAAGGGAGCCGAACAGACAGGTTCTTATCCTTCCGTGTCATTCAACATTTGGTCCAGGTATCTCGGCTACTTAATTCTAAACCAAACCCTATAAACCCTGAGCATCAAACCCGGTGCCCAAACAAACTCTGTTTGGCTTGGGGTTTCGGTTTTAGAAACCCATAAAACCGCAGGGTTTCGGAAATTTAAACCCATAAAACCGCAGGTCCATAAGCACCAGGTAGCGCCTTTTGGCAGGCTGCCCCCGTCGAAAGATCGTTGACCTGTGAAGATGTGAGGAGCTAAACCCTAAACCCCTAAAC